CTACTTGTTTCAGAGCATGGGACAATTAATGCCCATGCAGAGAAAGAATCACGAGACAGAGAACAGAAAGAGAACTTCACAAAAAGTATCATAAGAAAGCCAAGAAAATAAATTAAGGAATTAACGTACAATATTGCAATGAGCAATCTTTGATAGTACATTCCCACTTAGAAATCCTAAGGCTTAAGTTAAGTTACGCCATTATATGTGTAGTCTTGCCCACCTTGAATGGGGAGAGGTTGAGGAAGATGTTACATTCTCTCTCTAGTCCCCCTTCTTGCTTCGGGTTGGGGTCTTTCTTGTGTGAACTCATGGCATGTCGGGGCTTAAGGGAGTCTACTGCAAGAGTTCTCCCTGTCACGTCTTCATGCAGAGATAACTGAAAAGCACTGGGAGGGCATTGCACTAGGAGGGCGACCCCAAGTGCTTTTCACCTTTTGAAGTCGTGGCTGCAGCCAGATTGATGCCTCCAGGTTTTCTGCCTGAGTTTCTTATCTGGGTTTCCTGCATAAGTTAGGGCTTTGCCCATTAACAGTTTGTTGATCAGTAATTATCAAAGTCAACCAACCTCCTTTTCTCCTTTCCTAGAAATAGCAAGGAGGACTGGCTTGCTGATGCAACACTAACATGGCTGAGGAACTGTCATTAAACATGGTTTATTGATGTGGGTGGCAGTGGATTTTACTGATTGAAATCTATTTCTTGCCAGGAGAACCTGGTCAGCTTGGGCCACCCGGTTTGCCAGGAATCCCCGGTCAAAAAGGTGAACCTGGCTTCCCTGGCATTGGACTTCCAGGCCCACCGGGGCCCAAAGGTTTGTCTCATTCATGTTCAATAAAGGCAATTTAGTGTACTGGTTAGAGCAGGAGTTGCCAATGGACAACTGAGCTCCAAGACTGCTCTCTTAAAAAAAAAGTTTGCAAGACCTTATTTTGATTGGGGTAAAGTTTATTGGCATTGCCCTCTAATCTGTTGTCTTTTTAAAGGTTTGCCTGGGTTATCAGGTGCTCCTGGACTTCCAGGAAACCCTGGAATAACAGGTGCTGATGGAGCTCCTGGAGAGCCTGGGGAGAAAGGACAAAAGGTCTGTGGAGATTTGCTTATTTTAGCGTAAAGGACCCTCCTTGTCTTCCACCACCTGGTGTGCTCCAGAGGGCTGTGCTATCTGGAACGTTGAGGGACTGGAGTCTCAACACATCTGAAGGGCACCAGGTCAGGGAAGGTGAATTAATAGATGTAAAAATAACCTTGCCCTTGAAGCTTTCTGAGAAGGCAAGACTGATCAAACTTCCTGGTCCTATAAAAGAAACTCAGAATCATTCTAGAATGACTGTTAGTACCTGTGATGGAAGACATGAGTGGGGAGGATTCTGGAATGGAGCTTCAAGGTTGCCAGGAGGGGGAAGAGAGATTCCAGGGGAAGCACCTCCTCAGCCCCCCGCCAGAGTGTGGGAAAGTCAAGAGGATGAGACTGGCCCCTCCCTAAGGGCATCATGGTTATAGTTGCTATTGTTGGGGATTAGAATTAGTCTGGTGAGATTCTGTCTATCAGGTATAAGCTAATAAAGGAGCTAAACTGTTCTGGACTGTCTCGCGGTTGTTCTTGGGCTGAACCTGACATCAATCTCACCAGACTAATTCTAAACCCCAACAATAGCAACTATAACCATGATGCCCTTAGGGAGGGGCCAGTCTCATCCTCTTGACTTTCCCACACTCCAGCTGGGGGCTGAGGAGGTTCTTCCCCTGGAATCTCTCTTCCCCCTCCTGGCAACCTTGAAGCTCCATTCCAGAATCCTCCCCACTCATGCCTTTCATCACAGTACCTGACCCTTAAGATTTTGGTGAAAGGCCACAATAAAACCAACAAGGTGGAAACCACAGTTTCCTGGTTTCTCCTGCAGGTTTTGCATGCTTCCCACCTCAAAATAGCAGGAAACCGTGGTGACATTTTTGGGCAACTGGGGATGGAAATCGCTTCAAATTCTTCTGGGGTACATGCAGCCCTGAGAACTGTGGTTGCCTACTGTAGAACTAAAAGATGCCAGTTTTCCCATTTGCCCCCATAGCTGTATATTGATGGGAACTGGGGGTGCCATATTTTGTGCAGACTCAGGGATCAGGACATTAAAATTCACTGGCAAGTATCTGAGAAGCAGCAGTGAAGTTTTATCCATGGCTTCTTGGTATGTAAGCGATTCTGTGGTACCACCGGTTAAAAGATTCAACACTGGGAAAGGCCACATTAGCCCTTGAGCCTGCCGAGTTAATTGCAAACCCAAGTGGCTAGGAAGGCAAACCACGGTTTGGAATTAAACCAGCAAGTTGTGCCTTAGAAGGGCAGGGATTGGCTAGATGCCTTAACATCTTCCTACAGTTCAGGGAACTCTTGAAGTGAAATAATAGCTGTAACAATAATGTATTAATCATTAATTTATTATTAATGCATTAGGTAGATTCCTAAACCACCATGAGCAGAAATGATGGTGTTGGAAATCTATTTTTAAGCACAGCTTGGATTCTGGTTGGCCAGGTTAAACCTTGTACTGGGCTATAATCAAGTTTCCATAACGGAGGTGTGGTGTGATAACTGAATAGTCAAAGCAGACTTATTGATATGCCTCTTTTCTGTAAGTAATGCAGTCAAATGCCACAGTAGGAAGCAGAGGATTGAGTCAGAAGTTAAGAACAAAGGTTCTGAACTAACATTTTTCTGTCTGACATTTCAGGGAGATCCAGGACTTGGTCTTCCAGGACCTGCAGGGCCACCTGGTCCACCAGGTTTTAAAGGAGCACAAGGTCCCAAAGGCACTCCTGGCTTCCCAGGAAACCCTGGCATTCCAGGACGTGCAGGTTTTGATGGAACTCCTGGACCTAAAGGTACAGAAGAAGCTACTTGGTGGCACCAGTCAATGCAGATGATTCTGACTTCAATGCTGGGATTCAGTTTGAAGTTATTTTCTGGGTTTCTACACTTGTAGAATGTTTTGCACCTTTCTGGAACGATGAACACTCAGGTCAGATCAGGGCCAACAGGAGTTCAACAGGATGGTTGAATTAACAAAATTTGATTTTCAGCTGACTGGCCCACCAGGATTGGAACCATAGCTTGATGTTCTTCTGCAAACCATAGTTTGTGCTAGCTAGAATCTATCTTCATAGCTGTGGAGAAGTGTTACAGTGGGGAAAGGCAACATAGATTTGTAAAATTGATGTGTAAAGGGCAGTGAAAGAAAAATGTTAAAATAGAACTATTCCACTGGTTTAAGGGATTATAAAAATAATTTTTCTTTGATTTACACTCCACGCTTCATGATTTCTTGGATAGGGCCAGGTGCCTTTTTTGTGATAGCAGTACTTCCATTGCCTCCTCTTCTTGACATGGTCTGGCTTAGAGCCCTGGTGGTCTCCCATCCTAGCAAGGCTCACTCTACTTTGTTTTGAGTCTAGACAAGGTCAAGAGCATCAGTATCGAAGTAGAGTAATCTGTGTCCTCCAGATGTCAGTAGAATATAGCTCTCAAATGTGACAGTTGACCATACCAGTTGATGAGAATTGTATTCCAGGAAGGGGATCGAGTTTCAAAAAATGTGATTCCTTCTCTAAAAAGAACAACCATTGCTAGATCTACTAGTGTGGACTCATTTCTGGAAGTACTTTCTCCCATTCTTAGATTATCTATCTGTCTGTCTGTCTGTCCGTCCGTCCATCCATCCCCACTTGCAGATGTAGGTCCAGGCAGTTAACATAGGATTGAAAAACAAAACAAGATAAATATGAAACATGAAACTATACAGCACTATAAAAAAAATCATCACGAACCAAGGCCAAATGCAAACATGTTCAGAATCCTAAACCATTTTCCAGATTGGCTCATCCAACATCCTAACCCAGTGCTCAGGTGAAAGGAGGAAGCTGAGTTTCTAAAGGCTTACAGAAGACCAACAAGGTCAGGGCCATCTAAATTTCGGGGGATATGCTGCTCCACAGGGCAGGTGTGGCAACAGCTGGGTTCAGTTAGAAGGACAGGACCCAAAGCATGCCCCTTCAGTTAGATCTCATGGGACGGGCAGACATGATAGGAAACGTGGTCCTGCAAGTAACCCAGCTCGGTTACCATAACCAGCACCTTGAATTGCCCCCAGTAGCTAATAGGGAGCCAGTGCATTTTGTGAAGTTGTGCTGCTGCATTCTGGACCAATTATAGCTTCTGGATAGTCTTCAGAGGCAACCCCATGTAGACTGCATTGCAGTCATGCAAGTGGGAGGTGATGAAAGCATGAGTGGCCTTGAGCAGGGCCTTTTGATCCAGGAATGGAGGCAATTGGTACACCAGATGGAGTTGTGCAAAGGCCCTCTTTACACATGGCTGCCACCTTCATCCCAAGTAGGAGCTATGGGTCCAACTGAGCTCCCAAATTGCCTATCAGTTCAGTCTGGGGGAGTGCAACCCCACTAAAGATGGAAAGTTTCCTGATCTGGGGGGTTGGGGGGCTAAAATCCACAGTCACTTGGTTTTGCTTGGATTTTGCTGAAGCTTATTCTTCCCCAGAACTAGTCTCCAGACACTGGGAAAGAACCTTGACAGCATGACTTGGTACAGATATAAAACTGTTGTATCGTCAGCACACTAATGATACTTAACCCTGCATCAACAGATGGCCTTATCCAGAGTTTCATTTAGTTATTAAATAGGAGAAGAGAAAGAGTAGAGTCCTGGAGAACCTTGCAAAACAGGGATCTAGGACTAGATCTCTGTCCCCCCACCAACACCAACTAGAAGCAGTCTTGGAGGAAGGAGGAATCCTTGCAACACCATACCCCCCATCCTAATCCTTGAAAGTGGTCCAGAAGGATACTATGACCAATGTTCTCAAAAGCCCTTTGGATAACAATAGCCACATTACTGCCTCTTCCCTGGAGTCATGGCTGGTGTCACACTGAAAATCCAGGTAGGCAGATTTCTGAAAGAGAAACGTCCTCTCCTCTCC